AAAAAATAGGTCTCATGGCAGTGAAAAATAAAAACTGAGGAAGTATTCTAAAGCCAAGGTAACATTTTTCTTCTGCTTGCTACATAGTCCATACTTAACATAGACATGTAGTTATCACAAAATCTTTGTTCCAAAAAAATGCGAGAAATTACTGCCTGCTCTTTACATGGTCTCAAGTCACCCCTATTTAGAAATAAATAGTCTTCCTTCTGTGAGTGCAGGATATCTGTTATTTCTKTCCCTCCAGGTCAGCTCCCTCCTTACTAGATTCCTTTTGACTATTCACCTTTCCATTACATCCACCAGCTGCATCTCAGAGCCCAGCAGTACAAATTCCTTACGTCTGCATTCTGAAATACTCTACAAGAGTTTATAGACAAGCAGAAAAATGTGATTGGGTCCCAGAGAAGAAGGAAATGCTGGTTTAGATTTAAGAATTTTTTAATAATGCTTAGAAACACTGCAGAAAATATATCTGCCTTTAAGTGTGTGAGATGCAGAAAAGCTGTAATAATAACTTTGAAGTTCCATATGTATTGGATTTTTTTCCTGATTTACTAAATAGGAAGTCACAAATAAGTAAATTTCTGGGCATAGTTATGGACACTTGAGTTTGTTTAGTAGAAAATGGTTGTCATGATGGACTAAACCTGTTAGATCATCCATAGTTCTTGGTCCCTTCCTAGCTAGCACTTAATTTTTTTTCCAAAGCAATGGCATTCTAGTCATGCTAAATTTTCTTAGAGGATGAATTTTCTGTGATCATGAGAGAAATTTTCTTAGATCACAGCTGATATGAAGTTAACGGTTGTGTAGCTGAAGATTCCATTTACTCTTCAGTCTTATAAAGAATTTTGTTATCTCTGAGGCATACATGTGCACTCATTAAATATGTATTTGTAACTTTAACATTTCTYCAGAACAATAGGATCTGTATATATATTTATACATCTACACAGACATTTAAAATCCACATAAATGTCAGATATTTCACACTGTAGGTAGGTTTTRAAGGACATTTAGGTCCAAAATTTGGTGGGAATTATTAACAGTTTAATTTAGAGAAGATAACATGCGTTATGGAATCACTTGAAGTGTTGCTGAATAAACTGAGAGGAAATGCAAAAAAAATTAAAATTGACAAAATATTTAATATCTTCTTTTATGAGAAAGCCTTTTTCATTTCTATTTAAAAATAAAACTATTTAACTGCTAGAAAGGTCAGAAATGAAATATTTGTATTATTTGAGACAAACACCAACTTTGTTTTTCTCATAAAAAGGTGTCGCTAGTCTAACTCTTTGCACTCCACCTTTTCTTCTTCTTTTCTCCTCCAGCATAGCTGTACAACTGTATTGATAAGCAGGTGCAACTGTGAACTAATACCAGAAATTTTTTTAAAATAGCTTGATTTCCTCCTGTTCCTCACCAGAAGTGATATTTGTATTCTAATGCAGAATCTGGGTGAGGAAAAAATGACAAACAAAAATGCTTACCTTACGAAATTTTGTTCTTGTGGATATTTTTGTTAAAGGACATTACTGATGGTGCTGTGAGATTGCTGTCAATCTTCTATCTGGGGTATAAACGGCCTCCCATCAAAGAAGAAATCAGGCTCTGCGGTTTGATTCCACTGTGTTTTTGCATTGTGATTTCTGGCACAAGTTTTACACTGAGACAAGCTCATTAAAGACTCAAGGACAAAAAATTTTATCAGAGCCTTGTTATACTTCTTGGCTGCTTTGCTCATTAACAATTAATTTCTTTATCACCAGTGGGCCTACTGATGATAGAGTGACTGTGTTTTCTTATTCCTATGAGAAACTTTCATAAAATTCTTAGAAGAACATAAAAGAGGAGGGGCAACAATTTACTTTGCTCCGTTCACATGTTAGCAAATAAGTACGTATATGTAGTATTTTAAGCAATCTGAATCTAGAGCTGAAAAATCATTTACTATTTAATTTCATTTTAACTGAAAAATTTAAAGCAATGTGAATAGTTGCTGAGGAAATATTTTTCCTTTTTAATGATAAATTTTAGTAAGTGCCATTTGGTCCGGTAAATTTTTAGGACTGTTTTACTAAAGTAGCTGGTATGTTAAAAGGTTTTTAAAGAGTTTATGTTTTGTAATTATGAGATAATTTATACAAGAAGTAAACAAACATAATCTATTTTATTTTTCCTTGAGGTACTTCGGTTACACAGGTAACAGCTACAGATGCTGATGATCCTTCTTATGGGAATAATGCTCGYCTGCTTTACAGTCTCATTCAGGGACAGCCTTATTTCTCTGTGGAGCCAACAACAGGTACTACAAATGAATTTGTAAATTGAAAGCATTCATAAACTAATAAAATGGATTCAAGCAAAATTGTTGTTCTTGATTTCAACACAAAGATAAACTGATGCCACCGTACTCTCTTACATCTCTGCATAGATCCTAGATCTAAATAAAGTAAATTTTTGCTTTCYCATAGGAAGCTGAAACTCCTTCTTYCTGGAAAATCCAAACWCTATTTAGCAAATTATCYTGTTAAAGAGTTGAATTCYGAATATCCCATTCAATAAATTAACCTAGGAATACTTCTCAGTTAACAGCTCTATGWCACATTATGTGATAATTCTATCTGTATGTTGGAGAAACCACAGATATGCGATATCCCTCCAAAAACCTAATTTCTGAGTAAGAGAGATGTCTGTATATTGTCAAGGAAATATACAGAATATTCTGCTCCCCAGAACTCTAAATATTCAGAATGGATTTCACATGCAACGTACTGGCTACCATGACTACTAATACTCAGTATTAGGACAGGTGTTCTGTGCACAATCTGGAATGTAAATCCAGAAATAGGTCCAGTTGCATTACATACACATATTATGCTGTCAGATGGTGAGAAAAAAAAAAAAAAGACATATTTTACAATTATATCATACTTTTCATTTTTAGGGGTCATCAGAATGGCTTCCCAAATGGACAGAGAAACAAAAGATCAGTATTTGGTCATCATCCAAGCCAAAGATATGGTTGGGCARCCAGGAGCTTTTTCTGCAACAGCCACCGTTACCATCAACCTCTCCGACGTCAATGACAATCCACCTAAATTTCCACARCGTGAGTAGAGGCTACTGACAGGAATGGAGGTTTTGAGGAAATTATGATCCTCTTTTAGGTTTGCTGATAGGTGTTTTTGAAACAGGACTGTGCTTTGACTTCAGCATACAGTTCTAAAAAAAGTAAAATCATAGGGGAAAAAAAAGTCCTCCAAAAAACTCAGAACTCAGGAGGAAAATAAAATCTATCATTGAAAAAGATCTCAGACTTGCTGTTTTTACTTACCRCTAGGMTTTCAAGACAAATCACTTACTAAAYTGCTTTYCTTATAGTTTRCWCTACCTCAGCCTAAAATCTGGAAAACAGGATATTTAACACCATTTTCACTCACCTTCTTTCTTCTTTTCCTCTCTTCATTCTTTTCTGACAGACACTATAAACTTTTTGGCAAAAGATATGAACCTCTCCATCCAGGGATTTTCTAGCAGATGTGRGAGCTGCCTGTTGGGCTGTCAGGAAAAAGTTATGTGGTTGGGAAGTGCTGCCCTCCACTGTTTTTCACCCTGTTCATTCATACAAACAYAGAATAGTTTGTGTYGGAATGGACYTTTAAATGTCTTCTAGGCCAATCCTCTTTCACTGGGCAGGGATGCTCGGAACAACATTCAACCCAACCCAGAATTTTTTCAGGGATAGGGCATTCAYCRTMSCTCTGGGCAACTTGTGCCAGTGTTTCACCACCCTCACTGTCAAAAACCTTTTTCTTATATCTAATCTAAATGTCTCCTCCTTCTGTTTAAAGCCATTKCCTCTTGTCCTTGGCTGTATCTGTATAGTGCTGAAGTAGGGCTGAGGCGGGAGGACTCCTGAGGGGAAAGATTGTCCCACCCTGCCCCCAAGATCTGTGCAACACCAGATTATGACCACTGCTGTAGTAAAAGCTGGGCTTTTTCCAGCTCTCTGAGAGCCTCAGTTATTAACCATGGCAGATCACTAAACTTTGCCAGAATTTGTTTCTTCAGGACTCTACTACATGAGTGTCTCTGAAGATGCCCCTGTGGGCACCACTATAGGCAAAGTCTCTGCAGAAGACAGCGACGTAGGGGACAACGCAGCCATGGACTATTTCATCGAAGGAGATAGCTCGGATGTTTTTGACATCATTACTAACAGTGAGACTCAAGAAGGAATTATCTTACTGAAAAAGGTGAGATGACTGAAACTTTGGAAAAAAATCTGAATATTTGCAAGAGCTTCCTCAAGCAACTTGGATATGTAAAAAAGGTCTGTTGCTTTGGATCCCATTATTTTTTCTTTTTCCTTTGGTCTTTGTGATTTGATTAGAAGATTACAGTGGATAAAAAGAAAAATACTTTTCCTTCTGTTTACATTTTTGACTCATTCCTATTATTGCTGATAATAGTGACAGTCAGAGTATCTTAATGTTATCCCTAGCTGTGCAACGCAGTGCATCCCATTGTGAGAAAGTGTTCCAACTCTTTTGTGCATCATCTGTAAAATCTTTATCAATATATTGCAAACAATCTCACCTCACTTCCAACACCGCCTATTAACTGAAAATAGAATTTATTACCGTATTAGACAGTAGGGATTTTGTTATGACATAGCTTTGAAAAGACATTGAATACAATCAAAAAATGCCAGTTTATGAATTGAGAAATTGAATATTCTTTGATAGTGTGCTATTAATTTTGGAATCACACAAGCTTCTGGGTCATTTGAGGCGTCATCTGAAATTAAGATTGAATTCAACAGTCTAGTGAAACCTAGGACCATGAAGAACTGAATGCTGTAAATGGGAGGGATTTTTTGTCTTATTTTTGGTCTTTTTCTGTTTGTCTTGTGGTGATTTCTTAGTTTAGGAAGCTAATTATTTAGCAGGTCTTTTTAAAATTTCTTTTTTTTCTTTTTTTTTTTTTTTTTTTTTTTTTTTTTTTTTTTTTTTTTTTTTTTTTTTTTTTTTTTGTTTTTTTAAAATTTCTTTTTTTTTTTTTTTTTTTTTTTTAAATTTCAGAAGATAAAGACTTTCTAAAATAATAATATAAATATGTGTTATGAGGGATGACATTCTTTGGGAATTATTTTTTACAGTGTTGTTTGCCTGTCGCATTAAAGCCAACCTAAATGTAGACACAAACAAGCTCAATTTCATTTAAAAGTGTTTTTAACATAAAAAGAAACCTTAGAATTAMCTACTTTTAAAAGTAATTTTTTTTTCAAACATTACAAGAAGAAGCATAACACTATTTTGTCTTTAATCTCACACCATTTATTGAAGTATATTTAATTCAAATATGAAGAAAGAAATATTCCAAATYTCACTTTATTTTTTAACAGAGAGTGGATTATGAAAGGAGAAGGAGATACAGTATTCAAGCAAAAGCTGTAAACAGATACATTGATGAGCRTTTTTTGAAAGAAGGGCCATTTGAAGACACAACCATTGTCAAAATCAACGTGGAAGATGCTGATGAGCCCCCAGTTTTCACCTCAGAGAGCTATGTGATGGAGATCGATGAAGGGGCTGCGAGAGACTCCGTGGTGGGGGTTGTAACTGCGAGAGATCCAGACCATGATGACAGTCCAGTCAGGTACCTGTCTTAAAATGTGAGCAAGCCTCAAATGCAAATATAGCTGGTATTTCCAAGGGGTATTTCCATTCCTTAGCATGGCTCATAATTACAGYTCGTTGTGCTTTCACTGATAGCCAAGGTTGTTGCAGATGCCATGGTTTAACCCACACCAGCAGTAAGGATCACATGGGCACTTACCCACTCCCTCGCCCACTGGGATGCAAGAGAGAATTGAAAGGGTAAAGTTGTGACAACTCATCAGTTCAGTTAAAGATAGCTGTTTATTACTAGTATTGTTGGTATTATTATTATTAACAATAATAATGATGATAGTAAGAATAATAATAAAGAAAATAAAGGGGGAAAACCCCAAATCTACAACAAATCCCCAAGAGAAACAAGTGATTCAAAAAGATGCAAACCAATGTCTTAGCCACTCAACCAGCAACAGCAGATTCTGTTTTTGATAATCTCAGTGATAAATAATTTTGCTGTCTCTTAAGGGAGAAAACTGGYAATTAATCTTTAACATGAGATTTATAATTAAAATAGCTTCTGAATTGCTTGACAACACTGTGTACAGTGCAATTTAGACAAATTAGGATACAGTGACAAATGGTTGAGACATAAAATAATTTATGGTGTGTAGATTTCTAATAGCAGAAATATATATATATATATATATATTATGCCATAGCTCCAGATGTTTAGGCAGTGATTTGTTATGATTTTCCATTCATTTACTGCTATTTAGTAAGGTAGTAAAAGGTTAAATTAAATAAGAAAAAAAAATTTACATGTGCTTCCCCCCTCCCCCCCAAAGGACTCATTTGGTGGTTTGTTTTTTTTTTTTACATGACTGCAACATCTCTTGTGGAACAACTACACTTTAATGCAAATATATGTCTTCTTTGTCTTATTTGTTTTAAATTGAATATGCGTGAGTAGTACCAAAACTGTGACACAGATATTGCATCACTGSGTTTCTTTAAAATAGAAAATATGATTTCTAATATAAAGACATATGCATTGGGCTAAGTGCCATGAAAATTAATCTAATTTTGAAACCCTTGCTATCATAAATGGCAGAAATTACTTATAGTACGCAGAAAACCACCTGTGTGGCTCTGTGGCACCCAAGGTTTCAGACTGAAAAAGATGTGCAACAAAACCTCACTAAATCAGTAATAAAAAATAACAAATACTTTATACAGTTTCTCTGGAAAATATATATCTAGAATCAGAATACCAAAAAAAGCCCAAACAAAACTAAACTATGTCACAAAATTATAAATACCTTAAATAGAAGCTTATAAATGTCCAGAGTTTGGCTGAAATTATGAGAACTTTCACTTACAGTGCTGTGCTGGTCTTTGATTTTTCTTCTTACTTGATTTTTRAAACAGACCAAATGTAGCTATAAGCAACAAGTTAAAGAGTCATTTAACTGCTGTCACATTGTCTGAGCTAGAGTCTTAAGTGTCAACAAGRAACAGAATGACTTTGTCAAGCAGAATTAAAAGTACAATAAAAGGGAATATTTGCATGTGGGCATTCCAAATTGGAGTAGAATCTTTCAACTATTGAATTCAAGTTTATTTCCGTAAAATAGACTCTATTAGCAACTCCATCATATGGTCTTTTGCTTTGTAAGCCATTAAAAACATTAATAAATACCTTTTCCATTTGAACCATTATCTTTGGTGTCTGTTTCAGTCCATCTCTGGCCTTTGAYCAGTGGTTAGACTTCTACAATTTGAGTGAAACATGTGCACACGTGTCCACAGCATCCGAAGCCTTTTCGGGGAAGATTCAGGAACAGAGGACTCATTTGCAATCATGTCCTGCATTAGGATTTTGTATTCTTCCTCAGTGTCACCTCATTACAGAGAGTTGTCTGTCTTTACAATGCCCATTCCCTTGGCATTGGAGCACGTCAGCAATGATAAAATAGATTTGCCATTATAACTCCACTTATATGTTGGTGTTATTCATTTCACAAGTGGCACTTTTGCTGTTTCTTTTCAACAAAGTCATTCACCTGCTGTGAGTCTGACTTAGAAGTAAAAATGAATAATGCATTTCAGATTCAGTTCRCATTAATATAGATCTGAGACATACTTAGTTTTATAAAAAGAAGAGCTTTGATCTTGGCAGCAGTGAATTTTAAATGTTTATAAGTGTACATTTGTCATGATTTCTGAGTTGCTGCAGCAGACATTTATATGCATATATACACAGCTGTGTTTTCTCAGCTGACAATAGCTTTCTATGTCCTTGCCTCTGATGGAACAGTTCAGTATGAGGGAATCTCTTTCCTTTTTTTTGGTGCAGGTACTCTATTGTCCACAGCACGTATTTAAAGAGGCTGTTCAGCATCAATGAACATAATGGAACAATCATTACCACTGAACCTCTGGACCGAGAGATAGTTTCTTGGCACAACATAACTGTTACAGCCACAGAAACAAGTGAGTAAGAAATTTAAGGAACGCTGGCTTTTTTGTACTGTGAATTGTAATTATCCTCTGAATGTGCCTTCTTTAAAGTGGAGAATACATGCTTCTGTCTCATTATATTGCTGTTGCTTGCTGCACTAAGGAGCATTATTAGAATGATTAGTTAAATAGAAGTGGAATATGTTTGAGCTCCAAGGTCCTGTGCTTTTTCATAAAGGATGACCTTACGAAAAAAGAAATTGTAATGGGATCGAGAGTGTAATGCTTTCAAGTTACACTGAAGCATATGAATTGCTCCTGCAGTGCAAGATCTTATGTTAAATTAGACCCTGGTTAATTTCACACCAGATTTTTGACTTGTGTGAAATTAGCCAGGGTCTAATTTAACACCAGTCAGAAAACTGTGGCTCAAATTAATTGTGAATTTTAGGCCTAAATCATCTAGACTTCTATTCAGTAGCAATTAAAGCCTTGAACCACCCTTTTTATAGATTTCACCCGTCCATTTTGTTTGAAAGTCAAATGCAAATTACTTCTGTTTGTGTTTTTGGCGATCTAGTTGCCCTAAATCTGGGACAACACTAGAAATTTAACAGCTGCTGATTTATAAGGCAGTTTAACAAGATTATTGAGATATTATTTAAAAAAGAATTCCATCCATCCTCAGGAAGGAGGAAAACCATATGAAATTAGAGTCCATTCAATAAATCAGACAGGTTTTGCCAAATTTGCTTAGTACCTGTTTTTAATCCTGAATGTCAGTTAAATGCCATTTATTTCTATGACCACTTTAAACATACCTTCATAAACTGCACTGCTCCCAAAAGGGAGCCTTCCTTTTAGAACACTGATGCTGCAAGTTTACTWTAGGATAGTCAGTATCCATTTTCTTTGAAGCATGTAATTTGTATTTAGGAATTGATACTACTATCTTCCTTCTCAGCTTCTCTCTGAGGTTTAAAGCCTGAGTTTCATTCTCATATTGTTAGGCAATTGACAGGTGTTGCCAAAATTGATCTCTGGCATAGATTTGTTATGTCTTGAATGGCACTATGGAAACAAGTGTAGGAAAGTTATCCTACAGCAGGATAACTTTGGCCTAGACATTTTTGTTTAGTTGAACAATAACACAGTAGCAAACCAAATATTACAGATGAATACCTATCTCCTGCAGCAAAAGAAAGCGAGAYTTTCACAGTAATGAAAGTTATTGTCGAGAAACAGGGACCTCATTATGTTCAAATTCTTATTCTTTATATCTTTAAGGATGATAAGGTCACTGTCTATAACAATATGTTCAAAAGGACAGAAGTAAGGTCACCTTGGTCTGGGCATACCTGAAAGGATTTATMTCAGGTACTAGCAGTTTATTATTCCTTGAAATATAGTCACTACATATACYGTGTACATGAGGCATTGGGTGGATGTGACATTGTGGCTCCACTGAAGCCAAATAAAAAAAGGCCATTAGAGATCATCCAAATAAGATGTTCATTGCACCTTAGACACMTATTGAAACTGCATTACAACAGCAACCTCCCTAGGAGCCTGTTGATGCCCTGACATTCAYACACAGCACAAGACGTTGGAGTCCATTGCAATGATCACAGGGATCAGAGATTGGTAAGAGAAGCTTGACTCTCTTACTGCAGACCTGTGGTGTGGATCATCCTGTCCCCAAGCCATTGAGGGAGAATGTTTTAAAAGTAACCAGAATTAGGTCTGTTTATTGGAATTTACATGTAAGCAGGGAGAACTTGAGACCTGTTGAATCTTATTCCACTTTACAGTTAAAGTTCAAGAAAAATCAAGTTTCCTTTCATCAGTATTTACTTGGTTGYAAGAAGCTTTCACTTAGTACAAGGCTGAATCATTCCAATCCCATCTGAGAGCAAGAAATCCTTAAGTCATTATTATCCAGTTGGTGAACAGTCAGTGGTGGGGTCAGTCCTGTTTAATATGTTTTATCAGTGATCTGGGTGATTGGATCAAGTGCACTTTCAGTTCGCATATGGGATCAAGTGCACTCTCAGTTCGCATATGGCATCAAGTTGGGCTGTGGGATTGTTGATCTGTTGAAGGATAGAAAARCTCTGCAGAGAGGTGTGGACAGTCTGGATTGACAGTTTAAGGCCAATTGTATGAGATTCWAAAGGGCCAAATTCCAGGTCCAGCACTTCAGTCACACCAAACCCTGCAGTGTTACCAGCTRKGGACAGAGTGGCTGGAAAGCTGCCTGTCAGTAAAGGGGGTGCTGATTAACTTTTTGGAGCAGTATTTTTTTTTAAATTATTTATGTTCATTTCTTTTAGGAAGAAAAGAAATTTGTTTTAGTATAAATTACAATCATGCTATAAAAATATAATGATAAATTACAAAAATAATATTTATTGTTTGTAGTAGTGTTAGTATTGATGTTATTATTACAAGTTTATGTTTACTGGCTGATGTCAATGTCAAGCTTATGTTTACTAGCTGATGTCAATGCCAAGCTTTCTTTAATGCCTTGCAAATACTGAGTTCTGCTTTGTGTCTAGAGAAGGTCATTGCTTTTCTTTTCAAATTACTAATTCTGGTCCCCAGCAATTGAAGTATCATTTTCATTTTCACACTGATCCARCCTATTGCACTTGACATTCTGTTCCCTTAGTGTTTGCTTTTCAAGTCCTGATCTCTCTTATAGAGATTCTGACAAAGATCTTTTATGCTAWTTGAGAGATACTTAGATGATATAGGTTATGAGTACATTAGCTGAATTCACCCACTCTCTATACAACTGAGGCCACCAAAGGTGTTCCCTGATTTCTATTAAAGGTTACAAAGCCTTCCTCTGAAAGACAATGCAGTCAAATCTCTGCCCTACACATACAGTAAAACAATTTAAGCAACTCCAACACACTTGATATTATTTCTAAAGGGATGCATGCTACGTTTTATGTTTACCTAAAAGACAAGCTGAGCACTATTATGTTGCCTATTGTATTATCATGGATGTTTGATCCAACAAGAGAAATGTCATCACACAAAGAAGTATTTTTGGAATGAGTCTGACAGATCACAAGATTTGATAAATTAGCACAACTGTAATGACTTCACAGGAGGAATGGAAATGTGAAACTGCTGAGTATCTACGCCTTTATCTCTGTGGTACTTGCTATTGCTGCCATTTCCTTTGCCAAAAGAGTCAGAGCTATCAGCATAGATTCCATAAGATCCAAGAAAACAAATGTTTGCTCCAAGCAACTAGTGAATTATACATTAAAAAAAAAAAGTAATGCAAGAACGAAGCAAACTGAAAAGAGGCAGAGAAGAGTACATTTTGTTTTTTTCTTAAAGATCCATTTGAATAATTTAAATCAATGCCTTAAGCACTTCTGAACAGGTCAGGTGCAGTGACAGTAGCACCAAACATGARATACATTTTAATTATAATTACTGATGTTCTTGTTTAGACATAAGTGATTGATATATTGACAGACATTTAGGCTGATAGATGTTCAGTATTCCTGGAATATTTTAAGATTATTTTATTCACTGGAAAAAATCTGAATTACCCAACAACACATCCATGTCAATGTAAGCATTGTTATTGCAGAGGAACTTCTTGCCTATTAGAATGGTAAATTACATTGTGGAGAAAACTATGCTGTGTAAGTCAGGATTCAATGTGCTGATTGGTAAAGGACTTCCAAGAGGTATCCAATATAGAATCAAAGAATTAAAGAGTAATTTGGGTTGGAAGGAACCATTTAGATCATTTAATCCAATCATAAAGTCAGCACTGCTAAGTCCACCCRTAAACCACGTGTCTACCTCCAAGGATGGCAACTCAACCACTTCCCTGAGCATCCTCTTCCAAAGAGAGGCAACCTTTTCCAAGAAGAAAAATTTCCTAACATCCAAAGTTCCAGGTGYCACTTGAAGCTGTTTCCACTCATTTCTTGTTACTTGGGAAAACAGACCAGCCCTTACCTTCCTGCAACCTTCCTTTCATGTAGTTGACCTACATGTAGAGACCTTTCAAGGTCTCACCTGAGCCTCCTTTTCTCCACGCTAAACAACCGCAACTCCCTCAGGGGATCCTTGTCCACCTGGGCACATGTTGGCTCATGTTCACAGCAGCTCCAGGTCCTTTTCCTTTGGAGAAATTTCCAGCCACTCTTCATCAAGTTGGTAACTCTGCTTTGGCTTGTTGTGCCCAAAGTGCRGAACCTGGMACTTGCCCTTGTTGAAACACATTCAGCTGGCCTTGGCCCATCAATGCAGGCTGTTCACGTCCCTCTGCAGAGYCTTCCTACTCTCCAGCAGATCGACACTCCTGCCCACCTTGATGTCATTGGAAAACTGGCTGAGGGTGCACCCAGTCCCTCATCCAGTTAATTGATAGAGATATTAAACAGTTATAGCCCCAATATTGACCCCTGGGAACATCGCTTGTTAGTGGCCACCAGCTGAATTTAACTCCAGTCACCACCACTCTCTGGGCCTGGACATCCAGCCAGTTTTACCCCCTCAATTAGTGCACCTGTCTAATCCATGGACTCCCAGTTTCTCCAGCAGAATGTTGTAACTGCTGTATTCCTTTCCTTGTTTTCAGATAAAATGCTTATAAGCATTTTTATTTCATCAAAAACCAGTTTTTTCACCCTAATCTACATGCAATTTTGTATCATGATACTAGTGTATCATAGGTTTTCTTTGTCTGAAGTTGTTTTAGCAGTAGAACCTTGTGTAAATGCAGTAAAGGCAGGAGAAAAGTGCCTTATTAGATTTCATTTTCCTTTGCATACAGGAATAAGCTGCACTGACATATCTTTTATATCTAAAGCCACAGTAATAAAGTGTATTTGTATAACAGAGGCAGTACATCTCCTGKGAGTACAGAGTGCCTAAGAATTAAACCTGCTGTGTAAATAATTCTTGGAACAACAATAYTTGTACCAAAACTAACAGATCAGTCTGTGAAGCCTGTCAGCAGTAATGCCTGAGCAAAATTACACTTCTTTGGAAGTATGTGTTTGGAGACAAGCGGATAGAAGAGCTCTGCTCTTCCAAATTATGTCTGAGCTTTCTGCCTTGGCTAGGTTGGTTGTCAGTATCCACTGCAATTTTTATGTGTCTAGCRGTGGCAGAAATATTTTTAAAACATGTAAATTTTTGTGAATTTTTCTCCCAAAGCTTCAAAATTTGAAAATATTTAAGAAGAGCAGGAGTAACAGAATTTCTTAAAGGAATGAATGTGACCAATCATTATGGTAACCATGATGTTACCTGAAGTAAGAAAGCACCACCAGCTCTTACAGTCTCTCTGGGACAATTTTCCCCTCAGTTTTGTGTTCCTGTATGTTCCTGTTTATGGCTTCTTCTTTGTTTTATTAACTCCTGTTGCACTGGAGAAGGTCCTCAACCAGATAGCCGTAGAAGAACTGACACTYGGCTACCACATAACCATATAAATTGCCAGTACAGTAAATTTTTCTTCATGAACAAAATATTATTTATTTTTTCAGGTCAGGTTTTATTTTTTACATTTAAATCAGTTTCTGACTTGGTAAATAAAAGCATGAACAAATCAAAAATTTTATATGAAATATCCTATTTCAAGACMTACTATTATAATGGTATGATACTATTATAATAGTACAAAAATATATCTACAGGTCTTTGTGATTATTTTCTTCCCTGCAGAATAAAGGTAAAATGTTCTAATGTTTACATTACTTTAACATATGTAGTAAGTTATTTATAACATTTTATTTCTGTCTTTCTTAACCATTAGGAAATCCTGAAAAAATTTCAGAAGCAAATGTGTATGTCCATGTTCTCGATGTTAATGATAATGCACCAGAATTCCCTAAAAATTATGAAACATTTGTTTGTGAAAATGCAGTTTCTGGACAGGTGAGCATGSAGTTGTTAGCCATAATTTTTCTCACTACAATGAAGATTTGGTCTGAGATGTTTAGCATTGATTATTTCAGTTTTGTGAATACAGATTGCATTTTTTCTATTTCCAGAATTAGTTCCATTGATATATGCATAGTTTGAAATTTAAATTTCAGAACACTAACATATATTTTTTCCCTTTAAAAAAAAATCTGTATGTCTCACTTGTTTTTAAAAACAGGTAATAGAGAAGTACAGACAGAAACTTTGGAAAAAAAAATATAGGGCACAAATTTGTTTCATGTTAAAGTCACAGATATTAAACCTGTATCTGGTTAATCTCAGCAATAGCATAAGAACCAGGCTTAGATCAATTTCAAACCAGATTCATTGTGTCYTGCAGTTAGGAATCATTTGCTGTGAACTGAATTCAAACCCTGTCTAGTTCAGTGGAAGTTAGAAAATGTTTAAGGCGCAGGCCTTACAACACTTTTCCTAGCAGACAGCTTCAGCTATTGTTATATTAAACATCCTTCCAGGAGATTATTTTCTATTTCCTACTTGATGAATGGGGGTAACATCAGTCAGGTGTTCAGATTCCCAGGTACATTGCAGTCTTTCCATTTTCCTCCTGCAAAAATAAAACCTAGGATGTTCCAAGTTGCTTTGGGTTTTTTTATATGTGTGTGCCTTTTTTGGTTGTTGTTGTTGTTGTTTGGTTGGTTCTGATTATTTTTTGTTTGGTTTCCTTTTTTTTTTTTTAAAAAAAAAAGGATACAAAATGAGCAACATCAATAAAACCTAACCAAATGAAAAAAAAGCTGTAAAGAGAAAAATCTATATGTTTTTCCACCACTCTAAAGCATTATTCAGATATACAAAAAAGACCTTTGGGATATCTGTGAYGGATCTGTTCAAACATTTTGCTCTSTTTTGATTTCTGAATCACAGAGCCTCTCTTTTCATGCCAGTTTGGTTTACTTTGACCTTGATTAGTCTGAAGTTAAATAAAGCTTTTCCTGTTGCTCCAATGATCTTTTTATAGCCTCTTGCATCCATTTATGTTTTTCTATCAGCAACTACTTTGATAGTTTTGCATTTGGAAATTCTCCTGTCTGCAAAGGCTACCTCTGGTTCGAGGTATTTGGAGCAAACCATTTCTATTGGTCTTCAAGGAACTTATTGGCAGGTCAAAGTGCAGGCATTAAATAAACTTCACTTTGTGATCCTTGACTTCAAGACACCATGAATTAAATATGGAGGCCTATAAAATGGTTATTTGTAATCCATGTTTTGGACTTGCCTGCAAGATTAAAACCAGGTCATTTTTTTCTCAAGATTTTTGGTATTCCATAGTTGTTCCACTGATAAATAATATCTATATGCTAACTTATAAATAGCTACTTTTCAAGATCAATTATATATATATATATATATATATATATATAAAGTATTTTGAGAATCTCACTTTGGTTAAAGTGATACTGCAAAGAATAGCAGTGTTAACAACCATAATAAACTCTTTAAGCATAGTGTACTGAATAATTCTTCTTTGACATTGTAATATATGAATGAGGAATGATTGTGATATTTTTTCTCATTTTACAGAAAGTCATAAAGTTACTTTAGGTTTATGGGTTTTTTTCATTGTTATAGGAAATATTTTTTTGAGACTCACAGACATCTTTAGTTTAGCCTGTGGAGATAGTGGCAGTAATGTTAAATAATTTTCTCATTAACAAATTGTCTTAGAAAGAACAACAGGAAACTGATACTTGTGTGCATAATTATCACAGTCAGAGTTTATGATATTTTATTCAATGTTTATGATTTAAACAGAATTKTTACATGATGTATTTTTGGTGTTATGAATCTTTTTCTTTTAAACTTTTACTCACAGGAAAAATATATTTTATTCTCATCAGCAAGAAACCAAAAGATTCACRCGTGATTTTATAGATGCCCTAGTTGTCTGCTGAATAACAAAGTTTACATTTCAGAAGCATCAGTTTAAGAATTAAAGGACTTAAACAGGACATTACATATCTTTTTATCTTAACCATATTCCTTCAATCAATTTCAAACAGCTATGGAATCTGTTTACATGTTGAGTTGAGATCAAGGATTGTATAACTGCATTATCACATTTTAGTTTCTAAAGCAGATATAGCTATCYTTTTTACTGGAATCAATATTCTGAGAGATGTTCTCACAGTTGTTCTGCACTTCTGCAATTCCCTTCTTTGCCTGATCTGAGCTGTGTCTAATTTCATGGGATATCCCAAAAATATATTTGCATCAGTTTGCAGWGTTTAGGGGAAAAGGAAGGAAGGACATTGCACAGGGAAAGATACAATTGAAAAATTCTTATTCAATCTAGACTTTATCTTGGTGTCAGCCTGGTTTACAGTAAAAGTAATTTATAGACAGGTCAAAATTAACTTATTTTTGCATAGCCTAAGAGGATGATGGTTAATAAWAAAGAATGAAACATCATGAGTAAAACCAAGTGTCGTCCTCATTATCTAAACTCAGACACAGTTAATGATAGCTTCAGTCTAGATGAGAGGGCTTGCTTTGAAGTATTGGATTTTCTGAAAGACTATAAACATTTTTGGTCTGTTATTATTGAATGACTGCTGATCTTCAGCCCCCTGTATAATGTTTTTGTGAGAGTTACATTTAGCTTAGCCTCCAAAAGTCATTCAAACAAAAGGATTAGATTTCAGTCTGTGGGACTATAACCCAAATTTGACAATAAAAAATGGATGTAAAGAAGATGAATAGGTGGTTTTGGCACCACACTGAATCCATTCATCCTGTTTATTATATATTCTGAATGGAATTTTCACTATCTATTTAGTGTTACAGTTCTGTATGGTCTTATAACACAAAAGTCAGCTGTGTACTAGACAACAGCTAAAGTTTTTTTAAAACATTGAAAAAATACTTTCACTGCATCAGCACCATTAAATAAATTCTTTTCCAAATGAATTGAACATGCACTCTTAAATGGCCTTCTCTTGCTACAGCTATAGTTATCATCAGATCAAATAGACCAATATTAGTAAGACATTCAAACCCATTATTTCCTTTTGATTGGACCTTTTGACTTTGTGTGTAAACACAGTAAATGATGACCACAATGTTTCATTAATTTTTTATATTTACCRTTTATGGGTGTGTACAGTAACTATAAACCTTTGAACTTCAGAGGAAATAGTCTATACGAGTTGTCAGAACACCAGGAGGACCAAAGAGTCCCAAAGCTAACATTAGAGATATCTCAGCAAGAATAGATTTGACCCCAAAAGCTTAATTCCCAGTACATTAATAAATTGACTCACCTGGAAGACACAGTTTGAAAGTTTGATGTAGACTGTATAAAAAGCTTACATTACATGTAAGCAAACTGACCATCCAGAATGTACTTATATGCGATAACTTCAGCACTTTTGTGAGTATGAACTTTCTTCCTATCACAAAGGGAATTGATTTCAGCTGAAGATAAGGTATACTGAACATACCTACATTTGGAATTAATTCTATCACCTCTAATGCATATTTATTCTGGTAATTCTGAGTTCCTGTAWTTTGGGGATCACATATGAAGTGACACTGATATTGCAGCTTGCTTAGCAATTCTTATTAGATTCAAAGAAGTGATTGAGTATGCAGAACATTTTGAGTCAGAGATAAGAAAAAAAGAAATTTATTTACTCAGTACTTGAGCATATAATAAAATAATAATCAGTTACAGTGAAAGTGCAAAGTACTCATTTGAATTTACTTCTCTACATAATGAAATGTTGACAGAAGAAAAGAGAGGAAATCTTTTAACAAATTCTATGAGTATATGATTAAAGTTAAAAATGAGTAGTTTGCYAAGAGATCTTTCTAACAAATCATGATGTAAAATGATTTTTCCTAGCAGAGAAAGTGAGAAGCAAGATCATGTTTATTGTTTCATTTTGTGTGTTTTCTTCAACATTTACAAAAGGCATCTTTGCTTCTGCAAAGCAATGATAATGATAGTAATCAGTAAAGAGTAGTAATGATAAGAAAATACAAAGTTTAAAAAAAAAAACAACAGTGAATGCATCCTTTAGAGTGTAAAAACATGATGAAGCTGTGAAAGCAACACATCATGCAATGGACTCTTTACTAAGGTACACCTGCAGATGCACCAACTGCAATGTGATGCTTTGAAACAGTGGGCACAGTGGCCCATGGAAAATTCCTTTTTTTGTTTTATGTGGATCATGATTCAACAACATTATCTCTTAGCTGAATAGCACAGGTGGAATAAATTTATTAGCATATGCAAGCAAACATGAAAAAGTATCTCAGTGTCATAGCATGAGCTTTGTGGTTGTTAATCCTTTGCAGATAAGTACACAATTTCTATTATAGTTGAGCAGAAACAYTTACAGTAGCCCAGAGAAATCAGTTCAGAACTATGCCAATTTGCTTTTCAAAACAGAAACAGTCAACAGGAGAACCTGAGTCTTGATGTGGAAAGTCTACCTGGAACATGCAGCCCTGACTATAGCAATCAACACTTTAATCTTTTATCTGCTCCAAACTCTGATGGTCAACAAATATTATGAGAATGAGAAACATCTTACTCCTCATAAGACTCCTGCCAATTTTGAAYAAAAACAAGTTCTGTACTCCCCAAAGAGATGGATGATTAGATCTCTTGCATCCTATAATCCACAGCAGAACTCCTGTTGTAGGATGCTGAGTGGAAAACAAAACAAAGAACCTGAAGTAGAAAGCAAGAGTTGGCAAATATATTTCTGCTTCCTTCCATCTCTCTAATGGGATTGGTAAGACTAACACACAAAGGACTCAAAATTCTATACTCACGGTACTGTTAACAGTATTGTTAATCAAAATTAACAATAGTCATTGTTGTTCAGATGAGAAATCTGTGCCTTAAATTCAACTTGGTTGAGAGAAAGCCCATAGAAGCAGAAAGGGCTGTAACAAAGAAGGTTTGATCCTTTCTTCCGGACCTCTACATAATTCCAAATCAGTAAAACCATTTGGAGTTGAGGAAACAAATTTCCAATGAATTTTTATCAAGATTACCTCGCAGTCAACTACTCCATAATCCACAATTTTTTATTTACAAGACAGAGTGCAGGTGCTCTTCCCACAGCTTGGGCTGGCAGGTGTGTAAGGACTTTCTTTCTTTTTCAGTTTGCCAGGGCAGGAATTTTTGTCCGGATAGATTACTCACATCTGCCTTATCAGGCCCAGCATCCTCCTGTGATTGCCATCTACACTCATGACAAGTCCCCACAGTGGAATTTAGTCTGGGCTGTTGATTCCAAGCCTTCACTTCCATTTAGGCCTGAAATTAACATCTTCCAGTTTCCYGTCTATGCCTGTTGTGGTGGCTTATCTWRTGGAAATGTCCTYCTTTGATAGTTCTTTGAGACATTTCACTGCATTCTTTAAGTCCTCAAAAGCCATCATAAACCTAAATCAGTTTTTCAACAAGAATCAAGTAAATTAATCTCTGCTTTAAAGAAATACCCATTTAAAAACAAACTGCTTGATTGTTWAAGTTCTAAATGAATGGGACTTGAAATAAGAATTTTTAAAGCAATTAAATTTCAGCCTAGTCAGCACAACAACTGACATAACCTTGCAGAAGCATATTCTCTTTGTTTACACACTAAAATGTTGGAGGTTTGTAAACCTTGACACACGAGCAAGCAGTGTAGTTTTTGACTATGTGATGCTAGTTTCCCTGGTAAAAGKCTAGAATCTCCTAGATTAGATGTAGAAAAACCTTGGAAACCAGAAAAAATAAGAGTTTTCCTTCACTCAGAGTAATTTCTCTTGTACAGTCAATAAAATCAGAGCTATTGATTGCTTTCTAAATATTTTGTYGACTAGTCTRGGCTTCGTTGAATCTTAGTGGAAGTGCTAAAGCAAGAAGTAAACAATAAKGATTTGCCCTGTTCTTATATTCCAAATTTTCTCCTGCTGCTAGGGTGAATCTTTGAAGGCACATGAATTTGCCCAGAATAACCATCCTAGGTTTGGGCAGAACAAGACAGGATCAAAGCAAGGGAAGGTCCTTTGGGTTTTTTTTAACTAGTCACATGCCCCTTAGAATTTTATCAATTGGATCAAATATAGATAAAATGCATTGAGCCAAATAGATTCTGTATGTAAAATATGGCAGTCAATAATGAAATAAAAAAGCAGYACCTAATTCATATTTGCAGTAATTCTATGATTTTCAAACATGATAGACTCCTAAAAATATGTTTTCAAAAGAAATTGCTGGTACCTGATTGAAAATTCAGGGTATAAAAATCACATCTAGTTTTGGGGTTAGGGTATGTAGGTAGGTAATTTTTCTCTACCAAGTAACTGAACTAAACCAAAACAAAACAAAACAAAAAAAAATTAAATTCAGCTAACATGTCTTTTTTAGATTATCATATTACTCTGCATATTTAGTAAACTTTAATGGACCCTGAATTTTAATAGATGCATACCAAGATTTTTTCTGATCTGTGCCATGAAAATGTAACCAGCAAATTGTCAAGAAAAGCCAATATGGCCTTTTTTAGGATTTTTGAGTTAGGTGGTAAAATGTTGTAAAATGTGTCCTTCTTTGAAGTTTAGAGTGGATATATAGTTTTGTACCGTATTTCTGTTCATATTGAGCATATCCTGGGACCTAWATTTCCTTATAAAAATGAAGCCTGTGGAAATCAAGGTAATGTTAGTGGTCAGTTATTGCTCCTCACTGATTTCCTGACCTGCATGTTTATACCTGTATTTGAATTCATCTCAGTAATTTTGTTAGTTCTGAGGAAAGAAAAAAAATCCCTCAAGAATTTCCATCCTTTTAACACTGTGACATCACTGAAAAGTTATTCCACTCAACAATGGCAACTAAATAAAAAATCTCACRGGTCCTCATGTTTCCATAGAGTGAAAGTATAGATTTAAAATAAATTTCACATRTAAAGAGGGAGCAGTGTTGAGAATAAAAAATCTTTTGGTGTGTAAACCACATTTGGCACTCTGCTTTGAWGATTTCATCAAACGTAGCCTCCTTGAAAAGAAAAAGAATGTGTGATAAAGTCCTAGATGYTTTTCCTGAAAAACTAGGAAAGAGTTTTTAAAGGCACAGATGGAAAGCTGTAGTAGTCACTYCCATTGACTTACTGCTTCACTTTTAAAGCACAACTTGAATCATTCAGGTGATCTCTGGTTTGGAAAATTGGGGGTTCAGGTGTCTTGTGTGCAAATATCTACGAGGCATGAGATAAAATAGAGCCCAAATGCAAATTGAACTCTCTGTTTTCTGAAAATTGATGGGCTTCCAGCAGTTCACTTTCCTCCCGATCAGCAAGGATGCTCACTAATATGTGTTGATYATTAAATATTTACCTTTAAATAAAGAAATATAGACTCTCTTTAACCAGAAATGTTACTAATTATGTTAATTGTGTGGTTGTTTATTTACAGATATAAAAAAATTTCTTTTGAATGCTGTTATTTTTTATCTTGCAATGACTGTCTGTTTTGACATATTTCTAAATGAAGGCTATTTTGTTCTCCTGAGAAAAAACAGCCAAAAATTTCCATAATCAATCTGTTATAATGTCCAGAATCAAAAAAAATCAGCACATTAACTTGTCAATGTATGTCACTCTCTGGAGCTACAATATACCAGTTGAATGATGTTAACGTGTTTGTGGATTGCAAGACAATGGGTTTTGCTGAGAAGSATTTCTTCAAATGTAGAATGATATACTCTTCACCTTGAATTTAGAAAAAGAAATCCTACACAAAACAGTATATATATGATTTTTTTTTTTTCATTTATGGAGACTTCATTTGCTCSTGGTCCTTTGATCTAGAAAACCTTTTACATTTTCTCAAGGTTTTAATGCCTGCCTGTCTCAAATATTGATGAAAACTTAAAGCAGAGTACTCATTTGGGTATTTGGTCAATATGTGCATATTATGCACTCAGTACAGATTCGCAGATCACATCCTCAGCATCAGTAGTTTAACATATCTGGTATATCCTTTTATTGTTTTATAGGACAATGAAATTCTTTCACTCTTTAACAACTCGGTTCTTTTGTCTTKCCAGCTAATTCAAAGCATCAGTGCTGTGGATAAAGATGACTCAGCAGAAGGTCACCATTTTTATTTCTCATTGGCTCGGGAGGCCACAAATGGCTCACATTTTACAGTCAAAGACAATCAAGGTAGTGTCATTCATGCAGTTCTTTAAGACCTTTCTAATAGAAGATGAGTGCTTCTAGCAGGTCCTTAATTTCTTACAACTTTTCACTAAAATAGAAACTTTCATTGTAAGAATTAGACATGTCCTGAGGTCCACTTCAAAACAATAATTCAGTAGTATCCAAGAGTTTATTTTCCTTTTCAAGTGAATAACAGAAGAAGACAGTTTTATTTCAAGGAAAGAAAAAAAAATGCTGAAATGAAAAATACACAGGTACTCCTTAAAATTTTTTTCTTAATGTAGAATATGGTGGTCAATTCCAACTTTCTTGTTAAAACAATATTCCTGAGAAATAAGATCACTAGAAAGAGAAGACTGATATTAGTATGGGACTGTTATTTCATTAATTCAGCAAGATCAAAATTTTAAAAACATATAACAGGAGTGCAATCTTATTTTGTAATATAATGCAAAACCAGACTGAGATGAAAATATAGGTGTGATAGCTGCTGGAATTTTAAAGGAGATGACCATTTAGAGTCAGTCTGCTGAGACTACAAAGAAAAGCTTTTTCAAACTCAGCTGAAGTACACATCATTCTTATTGACCACGCTAATTATTTGAATGTTCTGGCTAAGGGAACAAATCAATGGAAATAAGTTTTAGAAAGTTCCAACTGCATTAAATGGCAAACTGCTTCTCAATTATCTTCAAAGTTAGTCAATGTATCAATAAGAATTTCAATTCCTATCTTCATTAACCTCTCACTTCTTGCCAGAAAGAGCTGGGTCATTGTATTAAGGTCAAATTGTGCACGAACCATTTGCCTCTCCCACCTTTCTTCTTTCTGCCCAAAACCCAAGCAGCCCCTCACACAAGACAATTTATTCCGTTCCTTTTGATGACTACTATATGGGAAAACAAAACTTTAAAAAAATATGATACAATCAGTTTTCAATCTGTCCCTTTCTGCTGCATTACACAGAAATGGCTGTTTGAATTGTGATAGCCCTACAGARGAGAAAAAGTGACCATAGATCTGTAGTATTTTATCTCAGAGTTACTTTCTGAACTATAGCAGAAACTTAGAACAACTTCARTGTGCAGGAGTTGCCTCCAGCAGACTGTTTGGATAAATGCATTACACAGATAATGGTAGAAACACTTTTTTTTTACTTCTACATATGCACACATGCAGTAATTACTTCTGCTATGACAAACAATTCTGACATGGAAATATTTACAGACTTTTTTTTCTTCTTTTCATTACACATGCATGTAGACAGAACTATTTTGTTTTGTAATGAGTTATGTTACATATTTGAATTGATAGATCTGCAGCAGGAGCTGAATTTAAGCTGTTTACTGTGTTTTTTACAGAAACAGRTTTCCAAACAATAATCATTAAATACAAAGCAAAGTGAAAGCATCTAAATCTTTTTGCTATTTTAGGTAGTAGGATTCCAGCTAGCTCCAATTTTTGAGCCAGGGAAAGAAATAAGAGCCTATTTTAGTGGACTTTTTTCTTGTTTTCTCTTCTTTCCCTTGCCACCTGTTTTCACTATGTGCTGCTAGACACACTTTTTAACCTTTTTGATTGGCAAACTGTCTATATTTTATCTGTGAACTGCCAGCTTGGTAGCAGCTGGATATATRGAACCATTTTAAGAACCAATTAATTAGTCTGAGCAGGTTTCACCCACTGAATAAGATGTCAATTTCTTTAGCACTGAACATTAAAACCAGAGTTCCTAAGTCAAATTGTATTATTGCCCTTGGAATACATACATCAAAAATAAATGCAATTTATTCATGATTGACATAATGTGCACYAACTGTCAGTGCCTGTTTTTACATTTTTAGCTTTCTAAATATGTAGCTTTGCAGAGTGCCATTGGTTTTATATAGGTCAGATTCTAGTGGAATATTACTATTGTGGTTAGAAAATATATAAATGCATATCATCATAATAATTTATCTTCCAGATAACACAGCTGGAATTTTCAYGGAAAAAAGTGGCTTCAGGAGGCAGGAGCAGGTCTTTTTCTACCTGCCAATTTTAATTGAGGATAATGGAATCCCACCACTGACAAGCACAAACACCCTCACTGTCACTGTCTGCGACTGTGACACTGAAGTGAACACCTTCTACTGCCGATATGGAGCTTTCATGTATTCCTTAGGTCTCACCACAGAGGCTTTAGTTGCTATTTTGGCTTGCATATTATTATTCCTAGGTAAGTACAAGCAAGAGAAATTGGTTTGCTTCCTTTTACAGAAGGGCTTGTTAAGTAACAAAGATGCATCCTTGACTGGAAGACTGGAAGTACCAGGCCATTGGAAAAATTGAAAAAAAGGAAAATGTTTCATTTCTTTCATGTTTTCTTATCTGTAACTTCTCCCTTCCCCTCTCCAATTTTCAGAAAAAAAAAAATTAACACAATTTCCCAAAAGTTGGGTGTAATTGAGTAATGGCTCTCTTCATTTTTCTGGCATTGCAATATTAAAGATTTCAGAGCCCAAAATCTGTATTGATCTCAGGTAAAGCTGAATACAGCATTACACAAGAAAATTTGCAAGTGTAGGAATATATTAAAAGAAACAGCATCCTACTCATTCTGCCTTAGGAATGGCAAATGTAAAACTGAGATAAATTACAAATAATAAAAGAAGAGAATCTGACATCTGTCAGAAAGCTCCAGACGCAGGGAGTTTCTCTGTCAATTAAGGTTATACCTCTAGACAGCATTTTCTCCAAATGTTGGACATCTCCTTTTTCCTGTCAGGAGACACCAGCTTAACCTCCATTACATTTGGGAATTTGTGGATGKGAAAGCTGGGTTTGAGAGTGTTTCAAATGCACAGGAGTTCTTCCACTACCTCTGTCAAGGGTCATGCACAGCTGGCAAATGACACTCAACAAACCAGCGATCCAAGCCTGGCTATTCCTGCACTGCATGGGGCCTTGGCTGCCTCAAGACATAATTTTTATGTCTAAACAGGAGAACTCATGGCAATACCAACCATTTCTTGAGTCCATAGCAAAGCCCAGGTTTGCACTGGTTTCCCTACATGCATGTCCTGGATTCCAACAGAGGACACAGGAACACACAAAATTGAATTTATTGTTTCTAGGCTTGCCTGCACTTCCAGAGTCACCTTATTTGAGTCTGTCTTTAGACCTGCCTTATGCCTTTTAGTCAGTTTAAGCTTACAGGTCATTATGCATTTCAAGTTTTGGTTGATTGTTGCAGGGTGCCTGAACATGTTCACATTGTGTTATCCACTTCAGGGACTGAGGATCAGGCAAACCACCATTGCATTGTCCAGGCCACAGAGGGAATTACTCATCAAGGGTTTGCAGAGAGCTTCTCTCTCCTGGTGGAATAAATCCAGGGCACCTACTGGGCCTATTCATATCACACAAGTCAAAGCAAGGATAGATATATATATATATATATATATATATATATACTAGTCCAAAAGAAAAAAAAATACTCTACTACTACACTCTTTACAAACAAACATTTTAAATTAGTTAAATCTTTGAATCGATATTTGTGATTATTTAAAACTAAATAATGAAATGTTCTACATRTGGGTTTGTCATTTGTCTCTGGAAAATAATTTTCAAGTGTTATGTGTAGCATTAGATGAGTTCACCATGAAAAAAGAGTTTGGAAAGTTTAAACCATCTGGGTTTTATGAATATATTGTAGAAATTCTTGTTTCCACTGTTTTAAAGTTTTGTGTTGGTATCTCCCAACAAAATTGAATAGTTAGTTTTAAAGAGGTAGAAAAGAGGTCTACTTCCAGTTCCTCATATTCTTAAGTTAGGTAAAATCCTGTAATTGTTGATAATTGTATCATTTTGTGTCCTGAGTAAAAAAAAAACTACAGTCCACAAAATACGTATTTAATAGAACYGCAACAAGATATAGTTAATTCTGAAATAATTAATCTCTGTGAAATTAATAGATTAATTCAAAGGGATCCTCAGTTAAAATGACATTATGTAGGATTAAAAAATAGTAATTYAAAATAWTTTTTTTAAAGCTTTTACCTATGAAAGAAAAAAGATCATCTCATTCATAGGCCTTGACAGTAAAATGACACAGAACTTAGTGAGAATCTTCAAATTTGCAAACTAGCATAACAGAAATAGTTGAACACCATTCTGCATAGTCTGTAAAACTGAATGATTCAGCCATGTGAGGAGGATGTCTTGCTCATTGTCTCATTTTTCATTTGGTCTTCCTGGGTCTTTTATCAGAGAGACTGTTAGAGATTAAGAATTTAAATTCTGAATGTGAAATGGATATATTATGTAATAAAAAAGGCACTTTCAAAAAGCATAACCTGTGTTTCCATCAGTTTCAAACTTGTATCTACCAAAAGAACTGCTCCATTTCATCCACCTTTTTTATAAGCCCCTTTGTAGCCATTTTCCCAACACACCCATTGCTCATCTCAATGCCATAAAATCCATAAAAATTACAGCTCTATAAATTTGCAAAGATAGCTTCACTTTGCAACAGCATTGATACTAAGATAAGTAGAGATTTTTTAAATCTTTCCAAGTACATTCAAAGTCTCCAGTTCTGTTTAATTTTTCCCTTTTCCCTTCTCTTCTGTTCTTTTTATTTTGTCAGTGTTCATTCTGGCAATTGTAGCGATAAGGCAGCAAAAGAAAAAGAAGCCTCCCTTTTCAGAGAAGGTGGAAGAATTCAGAGAGAACATTGTCAGTTACGATGACGAAGGRGGTGGCGAGGAGGACACGGAAGCCTTTGATATTTCAGCACTGAGGACACGCGCTGTCATGAGAACGCACAAACCTCGGAAGAAGGTGGTCTCTGAAATCCAGAGCCTCTACAGACAGTCTCTGCAGGTCGGCCCAGACAGTGCAATCTTCAGGCAATTCATTTCAGAAAAGCTCGAAGAAGCAAATACAGATCCAAGTGTTCCTCCCTATGACTCACTCCAGACCTACGCGTTCGAGGGGACCGGCTCTTTGGCAGGATCCCTCAGCTCGCTGGGTTCAAACTCTTCAGACATGGATCAGAATTATGACTACCTTGCAGACTGGGGACCTCACTTCAAACAGCTTGCTGGAATGTACACTTCCCACAGAAGTGTGGGGGATTAGGCACTCTTTGTTTTTTTTTTTTATTTCCCTAAGTCTCAGCAACCAAACGCAACCGTGGATTTTTACAAAAGAGATCATCCCACATATGAACGTGAAAWATAAGACCCCAAGGGTTTTAATATAGAAAGTCTTGGATGTGGAAATCTTTTGAAAAATYACACCAGGGGTGTTATGACATGAAGGAGTGGAGGTTCTCGTTTGAAAACCTTGTGATTATCAAGCTGTTTGAATGCTGTGCTGCTTTGGATATCTGGGTTCTCTTCTGGATACTGAAATACAGATCTGCAACAAAGGAGGAGTAGAAGCCATAAATGGATGTTGTAAACATTCTGTCATCCATAAGCTTTAAACAGTTTCCAAAGTTGACAGACTTTTGCTGTTGCAGTTCAATACACACATTAACCAAAGTTAAACACGCATATTTGTATAATGCTTCATTATATAAATATAATTGTGTGAAAAGTAGACCCTAGATATTCTAATACCATTGTCAGAAGTGCTCACAAAATTATCTATTTATTGTTCTTAGAATGATAAAACTAAAACAAATGTCTTTTCCTATCAGTATAAAAATAAAAACTCATTACAACATCAGCAAGTATTTGCTGCCATTTTAGTTTTTAATGAAGCTAKTGGAAAATGTGTAAACCAATACTTAATTTAGCAAATAAGATAGGAAAAAGAATCAATATTTAACTTAAATACTGCAATCGACCACATTATATATTACTGCACTTAGAACAAAATGCTGTCCAAATACAGACATTTTGCCTTTTATTAAGAGTTTAAAGGATGACTGATTTACCAGCACAGATTTATTTTTTTATTATGGAATATAAAATTAGCTGCAGTAGTCAGTTTTATTATAACAATATTAAGAATCTTTAAAATGYTAAACTGATGGTTATAAAACTTTATGTACGACATTAGATAATAAGATAATAAAATGTTTTAAATGTTAATCCACTTTGAAAATGATCCTGAATCATTCTGCAAGACTCAAGTAAGATTTCAAAATTAATTTCACACTGTATTTTTCCTAACTATTCCATAACAAATATAAAGCTGTCTCAGAATATTTCYTTACTTCTGACATTACCCAGCAGCAATTTTGGAACTGAGTTCATCAAATGTCTTCAAAATCATCTGTTTGGTCAAAGCAACCCACCTTCATTTTATTCACCTCTCTTTCATTGGATACTCATTTTACAGAAATTGCATCCTGTAATCAACTGACTCAATCACCTAAAGCTGGCATCTGGATAAACCAAATTATGCAACATATTTCTTTCTGCTTTTTTTTTTTTTTTTTTTTTTTTTTTTTTTTTTTTTTTTTTTTTTTTTTTTTTTTTTTTTTTTTTTTTTTTTTTACTTTTTAAAGTAAGGTTTTAGGTAAGTGCAACTGAATGACAGAGTCGGGAAAGAAACAAACAATAAATCAGCCCCAACAAACAATCAAAAAAGGCATGCAGCAAACAAATTTCACAATGTTTACTACAGCTGCTCATCACTGAAGAAAACCTAGGTATGTAGGATAAGTGGAAAACAGAGAGTTTAAATTCCTGGTACCTAAAAATAAAACATGGAGGAGTTTGAAAATCAGGAGACATTTCCATTGTGAGGTCTGGTAAGGACAGAAACATTATTAATTATATTCATAGCTGGAAAATTATGGGGAGGGGGTAAGGAGGCAGAGTGGCCATGCAACCAGGARCAGATGAAGCAGCACCTGCTTCATAAGAAAAAAAATATTCTTGCCAGTCTCATGCTGGGATGCCAGTGTGAATGAGAAGCTACAACATAGCTTTAAAAGATGCATAAGTAAAAACATTTTATTAATGATTCTAACCTTTTACTCCAATGGCTTTCAAACAGATGTGGCAAAATTCCTCTTTTTTAAGATAATATTTTACATATTAATAATTTGCTCCATGGAGACGACTAGAGAAAAACAACTGTACACTGCTGGTTGTTGACAATAGTGAAAACTACATGTTTAGGATTAGGTCTATAGATTTATGTGGGTTATACCCTAAACAAATCCTTATTTCACAGATGGTGCCAGTGGCTTTAAGAGAATTCTTTGTGCTTTCAGGTTGTATTTAGTACAAAAAGGATAACAGTGTCTGATCCTTTCTCAATCCAGAGATTTTGTCCATTTATGGGAGGAAACAGCCCTGAACACTCAACCATATTTGCATTTATAATTTTCTCTTTACTGTGAAGCATTTTAACAATAAATACTTTTTGTATCTAGTACATCCCACTAACACGTAGTTTTTGTAAACACTACATATCATTGTCAAAAAATTCTATGTGAAAAAGAATAATGGCCTGCAATGGATCTTAAAAGATCTTAAGCTAAAAAAAGCCTTAGATCATCTTTGCATAGTAGTGAAAACGGAAGTTTTGCCCTGGAGTGAGAAGTTATTCTTAGCTGTTACTGGGCCACACCTTATTGGGTTCCTAATATTCAATCTAAGTCAACCTTATCAATTTGTTTCCATATGTGAGAAAAGAACCATTGAACATACCCAGTAACTTCACACTTCTTAGCTGAACAATGCATAGAAAAAGGGTTTTTTTTAGAATTATCTTCTTATTTGAAGGAWGTAAACATCCTAAGTAAGCAAAATTTACCATACAAGGGACATCACAGTCATCAGTAACATGAAAGTAATAAAGGATAAACTATAAGTCAGAGTTTCTGATGATGAAATCTATTAACTTGTGGCATGGTTTTGACAATGAAATCCTCCATTATCTTTATCTTTTCAAATTTGATGGGTAGGTAGGATTCCCTAAGTTATTGGCCGAACTGAAGAGTGTGAGTATGGTGACAGATGATAAATAAATATTCAGCTCTTCATGACCTGCCCAAGGGAATATAAAAARAGTTTATTCACTGGTCAAAGGAAGTATGATCACAAATACTACTTTTCTATATKAATGCTTTGAAGAGATATTCCTTCATACGTCTTTTTCCATGACCTGGTGAAGAGAGAGGTGAAGAATTGGTGAAATATCAGACAAAAGATTRGTTTTCTGTTTCAGTCTCACTCACATGGATTCAGAGTGTTGTGGTTTTTGTTTTATTATTTAAAAGCCAAGGAAAAAGACTATGCATATATAATAAATCTTAACATTCAGATATCTGACATTTTAWAAAACCCACTTGATAGCATATTGCMGCTTCATACTCATTGCTGCGACTGGAAAAGTACATTTTGTTTATCAATTAAGCCAAAATAAAAGGTTTCAAATCAGAATTTAATCAAGTCACTTTATATAACCTGATGAGGGTTTTTATTATCATAACACTGAAAAGAAATCCTGCATACTACTGAGGATAATCTTAGTCTTTAAATCACATAATTTTTCTACTGCATTTTCTTATAGGTATTTTCATTATACTCATAGTTTTGCTTTCAAAATCAGCACTGTAAAACTGGTTGTTTTAACACTTGTTCTTAATTACTAGATGAGAGAAAAAAAAATTAAGAAGACAGTGCGTATTATATGCTTGAAAGTCAGATCTAATATATACTCTTTAAGGAGCAGAAGCTGAAGTAGTTCATGTGATTTTACGTTCTGGAAAAAAAAAAGAAATTTCACCCTTGATCCAGATTACAAACGAATAGAATACATATTTTATGAAAAAAAACCCAGTAGCTATTAATCAAATGTTTAACATTCTTCTACCAGAAAATTGGTAAATTTGTCTTAAAAAAGGAAAATAAAACTAATGTTGATTTTAAAAAATATTGACACATTTGAAAACAATAATTTGGTTGCTTTTGTATTTGAAAAAAGATAAATTCTTCATTTGTAGTTCTATATCAGCCTTCCGTCTCATACAGATAATTCAATATTTAATAGTAACATTTAACTGTAGAGCACAGAAGGATAAAACATGAATATGGAGAGATTGCTAAYATCAGTATGAAACACTGTACCCAGWGCAAATAGATAACATCAGTCAGAAATATGTATGACTATATAAGATGTCTGTCAGCAAAGGCAGCTAGATATATGACACTAAGAGCAAAAATTAATACATAAAATTAGAAACAATCACAAAACTCTCAAATAGCAGAAGCTGGAAGAGGATATCAAAGTCTCTTAATTCYCCATACATTTTACTTATTATTTAGATTCTGTTTGCACCTTGCAGCATCCTGTTCCAATGACAGCATCCTGGGACAACACTTTCAAGGCCTCTTCTTGTTTTGTACTATTATTATATGCTAGATTTTATTCGGAGATCATAGGTTCATTCTACAAAAAATTACTTTCAAATAATTAAACATGAAAATACAAATATAATTATTGTTACACCACACAATTAGTAGGCTAAGCAAAGCTGAAACAAATCAGATAATAATTGCCTGACCATTAGGTAATTCCTTATGGTTAAACAAGCAATAACATATCTTCACTCAGGCCAAGATAAATCCAGAGAACAGCTGACAGGTCCTGGCCCCTGCGTTGACATTAAACTGTTCACAAACAGTAATATCTCCATAGTTGCTACCTACATGTCTACCATCACTGGAAGGTTTTCAAAGGGAAAACACATTCAGAACCTAGGAATTAACTGTCTCCTAAAATTTCAGGTATTTCTGACAGAGGAATTGCCCTGAAAGGAGGTGAGGATACACCTTACCTTTCTGTTGGTCTGCACGACCAGAGAAAAATTAAACAATRTTAGAATGAGTATAATTTTAAGTATTTGTAGAAATGTGTTTTCATCCTTGTTATTTCTTCAGAGCATATGTGTAATAAGAAATTCCTAATTGTTCACCGTGTAAATTGATTCATAGATCCCTTGCACAGCAGAAAATTCATTAATCTTCTGCTAACTGTTGCTATGTGACAGATGGTTTGGATTCACTAAACAAACTCCAGATCTGCTTTTTCAGATTCACTAAAAAAAAAACTCCAACCAACCAACCAACCAACCAACCAACCAACCAACCAACCAACCAACCAACCAACCAACCAACCAACCAACCAACCAACCAACCAACCACCACAAGTAGTCTTCAAGATTTATTGCAAGAGGATTGAAATATTTATTTTCCTTTATTATTGGAGACTGGTAGAGACAACAAGAACCTGGTGATTAGAGAAGTGGTCTCCTGAAAAAGATCCACAAAGTGATTGCTTCTGCAAATCAAAACCTGCAAAACTTTGGAACAGCAAAAATTCAAAGAAGAATCCACTTGGCTGATGTTTTCTTGTTTGCTTTTTTTTCTATCCGAGAAAAGACCTTTGTAATGCAAGCCATTGTAGGGACAGCCAAATGCACCAARTATTTGTTGTAGCAGAGCTCTCTGGAGACTTCATTCATCCCTTAAGGATAAAGCAGAGGTTTGCAGGCTATTACTATAGTTGATATATTAAGTTAGAACTAAAAACCCCGGTAAATGGAAACAAGTAATATTTCTGGGCACTGAAAAATTAAATTCTGTTTGTATCCCCTTTCTAATTTTMTTTTGCATTATCCAGGACATAAATTAACTGTTCCTGACATGCCTTCTRTATTGGTTTTCTCCAAAGATCATACAGAACAATTTTAGCTTTCCAAGTTTCTCCTCCTTATTGATCTACCGGCTTGTAGGATTCTGACAAGTGTGCACTTTTTGCTCTGAGCATTTTCTTGATGTTTCTTTAATGTACACCTTTAAAAGATGAAAAAAAAAAAAAAAAAAAAAAGGGAAAAGCCAGGAGAAAACCAAAAACTCAGCAAGCAGGTAGACTTATCATTGTGGAATGCAGTTTGAAAGACAATCAGAAATGGAACATACTGGGAGCTCTACAACTTAAACTGTAATAAAAGAAGAATTTTGACCTGTATTTTCCCTTTATAGGACACAAAATACCCTTAGAGACACCTAAGAACATTCCTGCTATTGC